GCAAGCTACTAGTTGCTTAATTTGTTGCGGATTGTTTTATTTGCGATAGTTGTAACTTTTGATCATACTATATACCTGGAATATTTCGCGTTAATTTAACTGTCTCCGTTTCCGCCCTCCATAGTTACGGCGGATTTATCCTGACCACGAATATGTACACACAGCGTACCATTACAGTCAATACTTGTAAAGGGTGAATTCAATGCTGGACGAGTATAGATTTTACCAGTAATATAAAGGTCGAAAGTCTGACTTGGCCAAAGTTTCTCGGTGTATAGTAAAATCTTTCTCTGTAACCCAGGTTTCTATAGCAACCCTGCCCCCTGGCCTTAATTGACAATACCAAGCAACGGGTGTCTTTGTACAATCTACTGCTATAATCTTAATGATCTATCACATTGTGTTGTTGGTATGTCTAGTAAAATTAATATCAGTGAACTCAATGTTACTAGTTCTTAATATAAATAAAGGCTCCAGAGGATTTCTTATTCATAAAGTAATATTTCATATCATTCTTCATATATTTAAGATTTACATGATATATCAGATATAATACGACTTAAAAATAAAAAAATAAAAAAATATTCTGTTAGTGTTTTGTTTTGTTTAGTGTTCATCTCCCTTTGTCGGTACATGTATTTTACTTACATATATGTACATCCTTTGTGTATGTACATCTCGTAATTGATATTGATGATAATTCTTACCATTATGACAGTGTTGATGTTGATGTTAAACGATATAGCAAGTGTAAAGAAAAGTATGAGATTTTGAGTTTGGTCTTATGATAATAAAATAGTTTTATTTTTATATTATTGTTTTGTTATGAAACTTCATTTAAAACAGAAATTAATGGTAAACAATATATATCGGATTTTAAAGAGAAGACCCCGTTGTCTTATATCAGTATAAAAATAAAAAATATACGTTTTTAATTATCAACTACACATCATTGTATATAAAAACATCTGTATTTACAATAATCATGTTTTGAGACTTAATTTGATCTGACAGAAAATATTTTAGTGTTACGTGTCGTTCTGTTGTGATGTCCCAGGAAAAACCGAATGAGATCAATCTTGGAAGAAAATCTAACCATTGGACGTGTAAGAAATCAATGTTTGCAATATTTTGTCTCGCAACTTTTAAAACATATATCACGATCACCTTTGTCAGCAATATATCTAACTGGTTGCATCAAAGGGACCCAAATATTGACACATAATGTAACATCATTTGTGTTAGCTTATCAAAGCCCCTAAAGCCTGTAATACTGCTAACTACACAACAAGATAATATGTTCTCGGTCCCTGCAATCTGATTAAAATCATCTGTTACATGGCTTCGTTAACTTCGTACAACGTCTGAACCATGTAACATATGATTTTAATCAGATTGCGGTCCCTTTGGATTGCATCGGTAACGCTTAGCAGATAATCGCAGTCAGTTGTTACTGTAGCTTCCCAATAGAGCAGTTAGGGAAAAGCCAAGAATCTTTACTCATCTGTCTAAAAATAACGAAACAAAACTGTGACGTCAGTAACGTTATAACATAAAGCACACAACGTTCAACACAGAACCTGAACATAGACATTGTTTAACTAAAAGTCATCTACGTATTAACGCCAAATTATTAAGGTCATTTGAGGAATTGATCACTTAAAACTTTATCTTGCTTTAATAAGTAGTCACAAATATTCCCTCTTTCTTTCACGTTTACAAATAAACAATAAAATGCAAAAATGTTTTGTAAGATAGGATTATAATATAAAAGAAGGGGAAGTCCCAGTTAAGTGTGTTCAACCACGGTATATGACGGAACCAGGTGTATGGCAGCCAGACTAGGATCAAGGGATGCGGTGCATGGTTTTAACTACTTTTGTGAGTGTAATACCCCTGTTGCGCAAATATTGTCCTTGATCTTATGAAGAAAACAATATACAATACCACCATTTTAAACAGTTTAGCCTTATGAACCCAAATATATAAAATCAAAGATGTTATACGAAGGTTGCTGTAAAGCTATGAGTCTAAACTATTGAATACGGATTAGGGAAATGTTTCTTAGCAATAATAAAGTTGTATTACTGAACCCTATACTATCATCGGTAACATAAATACCTCTACACTCTACTTTATACAATTATCACTGTCCGTCCTGATGACAAACCAAGCTCAATGCTAAAAGCAAAAGCTGAGAACAGCGTTCAATACAATTTAGAACTTTAAGTTATGAGATCTTTCCATTTTTTCGTCAAGATAAAAAAGAACAACTTAAAGAAACTTCAAAACTTCATTTTGTCAAGCACGTTCCTCCAATGAAACGGTGACCTAAAGGCTGATACAAATTGATACAAAAATAAAATAAAAACATTTATACCGATCAATTCTTTTAATGTCGAATACCAAAACAATCATATACCAACGTGATACAGCTGACTCCTTCTCATTTCCTTTGGAAAAGGGAAATTTTAGACCGGTTAGTATTTTACCTACCATATCAAAGATTTTTGAAAGAATTTTACACAACTTAGTGACTTTTTAAACCCATTTTTAATCCTTTCCTGGCAGCCTTCAGGAGCGGCTTCGGGCGTCAGTCTGTTCTGATGCGACTTCTTGAGGATTGGAGACAGGCCTTGGATAACCGACAATATGTCGGCGCTATATTAATGGACCTGTCCATGGCCTTCGACTGCATTCCGCATAACCTGTTACTGAGTAAGATGCGAGCCTATGGGCTGGGTGAGACCGCCATGGACCTCATCAGTAGCTACCTTAGTGACAGGCAGCAGCAGATCAGGCTGGGCCGGAAGTGAGCGAATGGGGGAATATCAAAATGGGGTCCCCTAGGGCTCGATTGTAGGGCCACTGATTTTTTCAATATTTTTATCAATGATATGTTTGGTTTTGTAAATAAATGTTCACTGTATAATTACGCCGATGATAATGCTTTATCAAATATAAGTAACTGCCTTGACCCTTTCAAGAAAACACTGAAGGAGGAAAGCAAGACTCTAATAGATTGGTTTTCCTCCAATGGTATGAAGGCCAATCCAGGTAAATTCCAGGCTATTTGTATTGGAAATAAAACTCATGAAACAATTTCATCTTTTAGCATTGATGGGGTAGAGATTTTATGTCAAGACTGTGTCTAGCTTTTAGGTGTAGATATTGATTTCCTTCTTAAATTTGATGTACATATCTCTCGTTTATGTAGGAATGCATCCAAGCAATTAACAGTTTTAAACTGAATGGGTAGTCATCTTACAAAAAAAGGAAAGATTACTATTTACAAGTCTTTTATCCTATCTAATTTTAACTACTGTCGTTTGGCTTGGCACTTTTGTAACCTGACAAACACGAGAGAGATGGAGGAGATCCAAGAGAGGGCTCTACGTTTTATTGAAAATGACTACACGTCATCAGTTTTAGAAATATTGAAAAGAAACAAGCTTGATTTTTTACATGTTGCTCGTTTAAAAAATATGGCCATAGAAACTTTCAAGATTATAAATGGCACTTCACCTTCATTTTTACATGATCTTATTGAACAAAGAAATGTTTTATCAGAAGAGAGGACACTCTGAAGATTCCACGGGTGAATACCAAAATGTATGGCAAGAGATCGTTTAGATTTGAGGCGTCTCGGGTGTGGAACAGTCTGCCAATGGAGTACAGAAAGATAGAGGACTACCAAACTTTTCGTAGACTGCTCCGCACCTGGGATGGCCAACTATGCTCTTGTGGAAACACATAGTGATATTCACTTCAGGAATTTACTTTTTGTGATATTATTTCTACTTTATATGTGATATGCTATGAAATGTATACATTTGTGTCTCTCTTCATTTTTAGTATTCTGTGATTTTTGTTGTTGCATTACTTATATGTGTATACCTATATTTGTCGCAAGAATAGCACGACAGTGCTAATGCTATTTTGTTTGTAATATGCGACGGTAAATAACATTTCTTGAATCTTGAATCTTGAATGCGCAATCCTACCTGAATTACCTCCCTTATATGTCTATATGGATTTTCAGAAATTGACGTAAGAGAACAACAGAAGACCAACTTTACGTTCAAGATAAAAATAAGCCAGAATGTCCCGATGGAATATCGTCTGTGATATGTAAAACAAAATCAACTTCATTAGTATACATACATACATACATACATACATACATACATACATGCAAGCATAGCTACCCCAGGTAAATGAATACATGCATATCTACATAAATGCAATCATACATACACATACAGATTATAATTTATAATACATGTAACATTAAATTGATACGTGTTTTTTTTTTAACTTTTCATGAATATAATATTTGTATCAGCGCATACTTAAACTATAGGTACTTCATCGCATTTTTCACTTTTACTGATCTTCAATTTTGATCTCATCACAGTGCTTCCTTTCTATGTGTTTTACTTAAATAATGTCTTTTAATTGATTTCTCAATATCAATAGAACATTAAGGTTCTTTGTTTATCGTCCAACTACATAGATACATTGCTGGATCCCTAGTAAGCCTGATCAATAATCCCGAGAGCCCAGTCTCCGTACGTGTTGGTAATATCAACTCTTACCACATGAACCGCTATTGGCATGATTGACCAGGCTCCTCACTTACCTATATACGATATCGAATTCCCCTTGGTACTTTTGCCTGTATGTTGTTGGGGTTTTCCGAAAATTTGTTCGGACTTGTTTCTAAATTTAGTTTATTATTTACCCGAATCAAGCACGTGCGTAACTCTCCGAACATATTTCGCTGATTAGTTTATGTACAGTGTAAGTAGAGTATCTTATTTTGCTAAATTTTGTGTACGCTCTAATCATAATACGATGTGTAACAGTATCCAGTCATAGTATCAGCATTGTACAAAGCACCGGTATACTGCACCACGTTTAACGCTATCGTAGGCCGGAATACCACATCCGCTCACAGGGTCCGGATGCACATCTATGGCGGACCGTGGCGTAAGTGCCAGTGCCTTGAGCCTTCACTGAAGTCGGCTGTGTAATGTTTTAGTAGTGCTAATAATACCATCTACATCATTCCCTTTAAAATTCATGTAACATTTTGTGATGACCTTTTTTGATTCTACACATATGGTTCATGTATCGAGTGGGCTTAAATGATATGTTTTGTCACGGAATTAGATTAGAGGGAAAGGAAATTGCCTCTTCGGCATAGGAAATATGTGCAGGGCACTTTGATGTTGCGAGAAACTGCGAGAAAGCGCGAGAATTTACGTGCTTTGTGGAGAAATTGATTGCCGTTCAGAAGTGATACATTTTGGGTTATCCTGTACCGTTACATTGTCCGGAGTTCAAAGTAAGTGATCTTTGCTATACTTCTGTTTAATAATGTTTGTTGTGTCGAATACCAGAGAAATGTCGCAGAATGCGAAAGTTTATAGTGAACATACAGCGTTGCCAACTTGAATAATTTTATGGCTTCGCACACGCCATCAACATCTACTTTTCTTGCTAATAAATAGATTGTTTTGACATACGGACGAAATCAAATTGTTTATTTATATGTTTTTTATTGCAACCTTTGGTTTTAAGTGAACCCATATCTCTGATTCTGTAGTATTTTTAGCTCACCTGGCACGAAGTGCCAAGTGAGCTTATGCCGTGGCGCGGCGTCCGTCCGTCCGTCGTCCGTCGTCCGGCGTCAATATTTTACTTTAAACGACTTCTTCTTAACAACCGAAAGGCCTAGGGTGTCGATATTTGGGCAGAAGCAAACTGGGATGAAGGGCTACGAAGTTTGGTAAAAGTAATGACCTTCACCCATTATCAAGGTCACAGGGGTCAAATATGTTAAAAACTTTAAACAACTTCTTCTGAATAACCAAATTGCCCAGGGTGATGATATTTGGCCAGTAGTATGCTTGGGTAAAGGGCTATCCAGTTTGTTCAAATGAATGACCTTCACTTATATTCAAGGTCACAGGGGTCAAATATGTCAAAAACATTAAACAATTTCTTCTGAATAACCAAAATGCCCAGGGTGATGATATTAGGCCAGTAACATGCTGAGATGAAGGGCTACACAGTTTGTTCAAATGAATGACCTTCACCCATATTCAAGGTCACTGGGGTCAAATATGTTAAAAACTTTAAACAACTTCTTCTTCTGAATAACCAAATTGCCCAGGGTGATGATATTTGGCCAGTAGCTCAGGACTTACCCGAGTTGGATGTAGCTTCTTTGATAAGTGTTCTCTTTCTAACACAGCTGACACATCTAAATCAGTTAAAGAAAAAATGTCTTGAAAAACACAAAAATAAAAAGTTACCAAACAAGTGTTCGTTGGAGTAAAGTCACAAAAAGCTTAAGCACTTCTTTCAAAGAAGTTGAATATCATCAATCCTTTAGAAATATATTTATGATGTAAGTGATGCTGAAAATTGTTGCTGAAAACATAATAGCTTTAACGAGTGGGTTTGGTACCTGTAGAACAACAGATCTGAGCTAGTGGTGCTGTCAACACTGGAACACTGGTGCTGGAGCTGTCCCTGGAACAGCTAGTTTCATTTTGGTTAGCTGAAAAAGATGGAATTCAAATTTAAATCATACTGGTGCCTAATTATTTGAAAACTTTGGACTTGCTAAAAAGTTTCTGGAACCAGAAAAATGATACTACAATGTGTAATATTTTCGTTACAGCAAAGACATTTCAAAATATCAAATAGACATGTCCTTTCGCAGAATCAACGCTCATTTTATGGAGTCAATCATTTCTAAATAGTCATTAAATATTGACAAAATGCAGAATTGAAACATGATTAAATGAAATTCAAAATTTCAATGAACTATTTTGTCCATTTTTGGGAAAATCTGGTTTAGACAAACGTTTTATTTTAAGCCTGATTCATAGTGCTGGGACAGAAGTTTATGTCACCTTTTTTAACGCAGAATACACAAAGAAAAAAAAGGAGCTGGGAAAATGCACCATGTGGAGTAATTGCGTATATGATATACATATGCTTGCTAATGATTGACATTTAATTCAATGAATTCATTAGAATTAGCTCCGGGCTGTAATGTAACTTGCTGTGATGTTATCAGATTTAACTGAAATCATGTCACAGAAATCAAGAATATTTCTGTATAAACAATTTGAATGACGACAAAGGATATGCATGTACGTGGAGTCAAGATGGAATTCAGGTTTGAAATATGCCTTTGATTGTTGCCTAGAAATATAAAATTATGAAAGTGTTCTATTTTTTAGGTACATATTTTAAATAAACTATCTCAAAATTTCAAAGGTAAAAGGTCAGCTGATGTTTCTGTATTTTTCTTATAAATGGTTTAGATTTAAAATGCTGTAGTAGGACAAAGTTATTGTTAAAAGTTAACCCTTTAAGTCACTTCTCCCACAGGGGTTTCGTTACAAAATACACATAACGTTATGCCATACTGATATAGGTCACAGTCCACATAAACATACATGTGCTGTGACATATATCAGTATAGCACATGTACATGTGTATTACACATTTGTAACGAACCCCTGTGCTTCTACCGTGCTGTGATGCCCTCGAAATATAGCTGCGTAAAGCCAGAGACGTCTTTTATCACCTCCGAAATATTAAGTTTTACATTCGTTATCAGTAAATTCTTTCATTAAAAAGTCTAAATCTAAATAACTATCACGGGATAAAAAGTCAGTCATATTTGACAATGATGTACTGCCATAACCTAACTATCTGCAAAATTTCAGTTCGATCGCACGAATCGAAAGTATTTGATATTAAAGTATTACATTATGTAGGAGGAATGGGTGCCCAGCGAGTGCCTAGCAAGGTTTTCGCAAACCCAGCAATTCGTTAAGTGACTTTTTGTAATTATTTTACCTGATTTATAGGATAAATGTCATCACCAAACTATATGTATAATTTAAGTTCGATCGCACGTGTCAAAAATATTGAAATTTACTTGTTAAATTACAGAGATTTTTCTTTGTCTATGTTGTCAGGGGAAGTAACTCGTTAAGGCTTATCTTTACAATTCTCAGCCATAACGCTATACTAATTTACCTTGCAATACAACAAAGCCTGATCAACATCAGAGCCCAATTTCTTATAATATATTTATATTCAATTATTGCCTGTTTTGACTTTATGAAATATTTACGTTATTATGCCATTTGATTAATTTCATTGTGTACTATTATTCATGAAAGAAATATCACGGAATAAAATTAGACCCAAGTCCGTGGTAATATCAGCTTTATTTATTTGTTTTCCTATTTTTTGTATTTATTAACATTTTTTAAACCTTCTATCATTGTTATATTCTATCATAATCAATAATATATAAAAAAAATCAAACACAATGTAACAAACACTTATGACAATCCCGTACGTCTTGCCGCCGCAGTTCTGTCTAAGTAGGGTTTATTTTTATCTGAAAGTCTATTGATAAATTTTCAATCACTTCCCTTTTGATATTATTTAACATTATTTGCATCATTATTAAAATAAAAAATGTCTTGACTGTAACCGAAATAAATCGAATACGTCAAAGTTTAGTATTCTACACAATATTATAAAATTATGCGTTATAAAAGTTAGTTTTCTAATTACAATAACAGTAGCAAAACTTGTATTAGAATGTTTGTTTAGATATTAGTTTTAAATATTGTAAATATAATATCTATTTATACACTGATAAACATATTGTTCAAACATGAATAAGGAATTGAAATTGAATTGTAAAGCATTCAAAATCAAATAATTCGAAACATTAAAAAGTTTTACAGGAAAAGACAGCAATGTTTTCAACTTAAACTATTCAAGATACATGTATTCATATTTAAACTATTTTCCTTTCCCTTTTCCTTCTATTTTATATATCAATTAATAAGTACACTGAACAAAAACAGAAATGCACTTTGTGAGCTTCTTTAGTTCAAATCACGCGACGTGATCAAGCCAAGTCGGATTTTTTCAAACAAATAATCTCAACAGATGCTCTAAGTTCAGCCACATTAATTTCCCACGTTGGCATTTTGATTTCGCCATTGACTGAGATGCCACGCTTAATGCAAATTCAGAGGGGTAGAGCAATTGCGATGTTGATGGATGGTTATAGCCAAACTGCTGTCACACGGCAGTTTGGTGTTGGCCCGTGTACAATTAACCGTCTCTGTACACGTTTCCGTGCTACTTGGTTAGTTTCCGAGCGTCCCAGGAGCGGTCGTCCGCGTGTAACGACCGAACAACGAGACAGGGCGATTACAATGTCGCACTTGCGCAACAGATTCAAGACTGCTGTAGAGACTGCGTCGCATACCTTAGGTACTCATGGCAGATCCATTAGTCCTCAAACTGCCAGGAACCGCTTGCGTGCCGAGAGAATCATTGCGCGCCGATCTTATGTCGGGCCACCTCTGACACCACGGAGGCGGCAAGTGCGTCTTGACTGGATGCGCAGACATGGCCCGAATAGGTTTGGGATGCGTCGATGGAGGCGTGTGATCACCAACGAGTCTAGATTATGTCTGTATCGCTTAGACGGAAGAAAAAGGGTATATCGCAGACGCGATGAGCGTTTCGCCGACGCATGCGTGGTTGAACGCGATTGATTCGGTAGGGCTTCTGTAATGGTTTGGGGAGGCATCTGCCATGGAGTAAAATCCCCCTAGTGGTCCTGGATCAAAACCTCAATGCCGTTCGATACAGACACCAGATCCTCCAACCACATGTCCTTCCACTTCTCAGACGTCATAACCTAATTTTCCAGCAAGACAATGCTCGACCGCATGTTGCCAGAGTCTGTCGTGATTTTCTCACGGCAAACAACGTTCAGCCTCTCGAATGGCCTCCATATAGCCCCGACATGTCTCCCATTGAGCATCTGTGGGATGAGCTGGACAGGCGTATTAGGAAACGTCTAAATCCCCCAACTAACCGCGCCCAGTTGATCGCAGCATTAACACAAGAATAGAACAACATTCCATTAAGGCGAATAAATGTTCTCATGAATTCAATGCATAGGAGAAATCGTGCAGGGATTCGTGCAAAAGGTGCCCACACCAGGTACTGAAGTGTCATTTTGTTTTTCGCAGGTATCCCACTTTGAGTAACTACTGATGACACGAGTGACGTCATACAGACTTTTCTTCTACAATATTGTAAAGAGTAGACTTGTCCCTTCATATTGATATAAAATTTTGTACAAATTTCCCAAAATATCATAGGCTATTGATTGTATAATTTTATTGTGCGTTTCTTTTTTTGTTCAGTATTTTATGATATTCTCCACCTTTTTTTATTTTATTTATTAAAATCGATAACTACGTGTAAATGATTTTTGTTCCATCTTTCACATGTGGAACCTTTCAAAAGATAGACATCTACATCCGTTCTAGATATTTCCAAACCCTGTGTGCCATCTATTTACCAATAAAATTTCAAATTCATTTTCCTGGTCAAACTCTTGTTAAATACCTTTTAAAATCCTACTTGAACTTAATGTAAACGGTTTTTGCCGGACCCCCACTTTCTGGAACCATTCAAATATTGGGCACTGGCACATATTCTATATTCTGTATGGTTATGAACACATGAAATGTCGTACTAATACTATGTTCATGGTACTGGCTCGGAGTGAACATCAAGTTCTATCTTTATGGTACCCTCTGTACGTAGAACCTTTTAAACGTTTGGCATCGACTCGGGTTTTTAGACCTATTTGGACACTAGACTCTTAAAATAATCCATTAATAAATGTTATAGCGACATCATACTCCTTTTTACAAAATTTGAACAAAGCCATACTAAATTTGGTTCAAATCTAACAACATCTGATTGATGATCATTCAATATGAACTTACTAAGTTTTTCTTTCTAATTCCAAACAACTCTTTTACTACGTTTAAATCTACACATATAGATCCGGGCGCCTAACATCGTACCATCTTCATAGTTTTCATGTTCTATTGATCTTTACTCTGCTCATCGCTTTTCTGTTGGAATAAGTCACGTAAACAATTTGTTAACTTATAGTAAAATTTCATAGAAAAAATAAACTGATTTGTATGACATTGAACTTTCAAATTCAGCTTGTTGTGCCACATATTTACTAGCATGGTGCCTGCTCTGTAAGGAGGAGAACCTACATTTAAATTTTAAGAAAGATCTGTCAGTATTTGTCAATAAATATTGATAACAAACTGTAACTGTCAAAATCAAGTATGGATGCCTTTGCGACCAATTTTTTTTTCTAAACAGCCTTAATATGAAACAACTAAGGCCATATGAAAGTATGACGAAATCGGATAAAGATCTATCAAGTACTTATTGAGAAATAGTACTAACAACCTTTCAATCTCTTAATTCCAAATAGCAGCCTGCCACCCATCGTGATATTCTTTAATGCATAACAGACGACCACGGGAAACCTTAACATACTTTAACTCTCAACATTCAAAATGGCCGCTTGTCAACCAACATGGTTTTGATCAGACAAAACATTTGACATTCATAACAAGACACCAGAAAGATCCTTCGAATACTTTCTGAGAAATAGCACTAACACTATTCATCTTAATATCAAAATTCAAACAAGAGGCCCAGAGGGCCTGTATCGCTCACCTGAAATAATTGGTATGAAGTACAGATGTAGCACTCCATGGTAGGTGCTGTAAGTACATATGAAATTTCAGAAAGATCCATCCAGTACTTGAGATATAGCGAGAACAAACTTCAAACAGAGCCCCACCCCTATGCCCCTAGGGGGGTCATACCCACCAATTATACAAAATTGAGTCCCCTTGGCCCAAGGTTGCTCCAGACTAAATAATGATAAAATCCCTTAATCCCGATGGTAGAAGAAGGATTTTAAAGGTTTTATCTCTATTTATTCTATTTGGCACCGCCCTTCTGCCCCTAGGAGACCACACTCACAGCTTATACAAAATTGAGCCCCCTTGGCCCAAGGATGCTCCAGACTAAATTAGGATAAAATTCCTTAAAATCTATGGTAAAAGAGGGAGTTTAAAAGTTTTACCTCTATTTCCCTTATTTGGCCCCACCTCTCTGCCTCCAGGGGGTTCAGACACACCGTTTATACAAAATTGGTTCCCCTTCACCCAAGGATGCTTCAGACCAAATATAGAACAAATCCTTTCATTCCTACAGAAGAAGGATTTTAAAGAATTTATTTGCTATATTTCCCATATTGGGCCCCGCCCCTCAGCCCCCAGGGGGAACATACCCACCATTTATACAAAATGTGTTCCCCTTCCCCAAGGATGCCTCTGACCAAATATGGAACAAATCCTTTCTTTCCTACAGAAGAAGAAGGGTTTTAAAGAAGAATTTGCTATATTTCCCCTTTTGGGCCCCGCTCATCAGCCCCCAGGAGGGCCAGACCCACCATTTATACAAAATTTGTACCCCTTTCCCCAAGGATACTTCTGACTATATTTGGTCAAAATCTGCCTGGTCGTTCATGACTAATAGCGATTTTTAGGAAAAGTTGACGGTGGACGACGGACGGACGACGGACGCTGCGGTATGGCATAAGCTTCGGACCAGGTGAGCTAAAAACATGTAGCCGCCTGTCAGCCATCTTTGTTTTGATTTCAGATCCCAAATTCGATATGCGTAACTACAGACCATAAGAATATTCGAGTTAAACTTCAGAAAAAACACTCCAGTTTTTTCTGAAAAATGGCGTTTTCTACATTTAGTGTCATTATATGACTAACGGTGAATACAGACATTCAAATTTCATTCAGACCAATACTAGTTCGTTAAAATATCAATCCAAATCACAAAATACGTACAAGTTGTATCACAAACATTACAAACGATGCTTTGACTTTCCCCCCCTCCGCCCTCTGGCTCGACGAAGACTCCATATTTCTACATAGTATATGACGGATCTGCCCATTTCCCGAGTCTTCCAAACGCAATGATGTAATATGCGGAAATGCTGTCCCTATAAAACATGTTTCAAAATACCTAGTTGCATGTATTAATAACAATATTAGCTAATAAACTATGATATTAGCCTCATTTACATATCAAACTGAAATTGTATCATTCTGTCAATATACTTCGATAAATCGACGAATACATTAAATCGATTTTGATTATTTAAACTAAATAGTTACGGTTATAACAGAATAACGGTTTTCTTCTTGTATGTATTAATTCTATTTGCTTTTTCCGAACACATACATCCCCATGGAGCCAGGTGTTAAAACCCAGAAGCTGTAGAAATACATGAAGATATAAAAGTCAGGTATTTTCTATACTTTAGCCAAATTTATTGCGGATGCACTGACTGTTAGTACTGTAACAACATGGTGTGCCTTCTTCATTTAATTTATCGTATTAATGCTTTGATGCGATTTTGTTTTCTCCGCAAAAGGTGGGATGGGTGGGGTGTTTTGACGTCAAGAACACAGACACCCAGGCCAATGTAATAACTCTTATTTAAAATTAATCACAAATGATTTGTTATGCTTTTATGATACATATCTTATTATTTTGTACATCTCGATATATAGCAATTGGATTTAGTTTATCTTAATATTATTTTTTGGCAAAACAAACAAGTTACTTCTACAAGTATCTTGCTTTGTTTGTTTTTGACCAACGTTTAACTCTAGCCACTACTGGCTATGTTTTGTTAAAGTCGAATAATAAATCTCCTTGGTCCTAGGGGGAGCAAGAGGGGGAAGACAGTCAACCTCTTATATAGAGGACATAGGTGTCAACACAGTTTTTTTGGGCAATTGTTGGTGTAAGAAAATGACATTTGAGGTCAAATCTCTTCCATTCCTTGCTTATGCTTATATATATTACGTAAAATGTAGAAATGTGTTTTTGTTTCATTTTTTAGAGAAAATGGACGAGTACGACTGCGTTTTTGTGTCATAACTGAAAGTTGTTGATGAAATAATAATAAGATAATACCAGTCGTTGGAGATAATACTAAATGAGAAAGAAATCAACAAACTCTACACCAATGTAAGTAAATGTTGATTTTTGAACCAGATATCTGACAACAAATAAGTATATCTTGTGTATATAAGATTTATAAGCTCAATGATATATATATATGAACAATTAACCACCTTCGACATTTTGTGCATATATCTAATTATTGCCTTCAACAGAAAACATTATTCCATTAAATAAAATAACCCAATGGACGGGACGTGGCTAATATTTGTGTACATATATGTACAGGCAGTCCGAGACTTGATAGTAAATATTGGTATTACAAACCCCTGTTCTAATAATTCCTTAAATACTTTGTACTTAAAGCACTAAAAAGGCCATATAGAAGAAGAAAAAACGTCTAGACTTAGATAAAATTTGGTCAAATATTTGTTGCAAAGTAGTAAAAAAAATAGTGGTTTGATCTTGGGGTAAATGGTTGATTTAAAATAAGGAACAATATGTCATACCGAGAAGACAGCATCCGTACTTGAACTAGCATAGCTGACAGACATACATGCAATCATACACATCTGCGGGCATAATCACAATTCAATTTTACTGCCACATCGTAAATAACTCATATGCTTTGCGCTATTGAATTTTCAATACAGTTAAATGTTTAAAATATTAAACATCTTTTACACGTATTCGCTTATCATTTGCCTTTCAAATTAACAAAGATGCTCCTTGCTGAAGATAGATAATTAACAGTAACATATCTCAGACAGATACTAACAATACATTGTTTATTATTATCCACCAGTACTCAATTCAGGCTGAAAAGTACTTTGAGAACGTTTTGGGAATTAACAACAGAATATCCATCGACACTGTCAGACAGTTACGCATGGTACATGTAGTCGTCAAAACTGTGTGAGTATAACCTGTGTTTTATGAATAACGGCGTCAATTGAATGGCATACGTTCTAAAAGAAGGCTGTTACATATTTAAATGATATCTATTAATAAATATACAACATTTAATATACAAAATTTGCTATAGCGCCCTATCTAGCTAGCATACGCTACTCTAAAGCGCGTTACAGTACATAGATATACAATTTATACAATCTATACAATCAGCATATGCATCAATCAATACAATTTCGAGGAATTCGCAGGAGCTGCCTTATCAGGCGCTTACTACTAGTCCTATGCCACCTAGCTAATATCCCCCCTATGTGTGTATGTATGCGTGTGTGCTGGAGATATATTGTGTTCTATTTCTAGTGGGACCGTATCAAAGGTATCATTTATAGTGCCACTTTACTTGAATGCTACAGCACATATACCGCAACATCCACCCCAGACCATTTTATACTCCACCTGGGTTGTTAGAGTTGTTTGGGCATGAGAAAAACACGTGTTCGACGACTTCGGGGATCGAACCCCGGCCCCCTGCATGGAAGGCCGGAGTGTTAACCATCCGTTATATAATATAACAATATTATATGCTATATAATATTACCAGTTAAGATCTAATAAAGTATCGTATTTTCCAATTTACTGAATTCTTTTTATACATACAAAACATCAATCATATGTGTTATTTTTGTTCTTGACGTCAAGTCTGAAGAATTATTTAAATGTGGTGATGCTTCCATAGATTTAACACCAAATGTATCAATGCAAATTAAAAATATTACGGGTCCCTGTCTCACTGCAATCTGGGTTTTGGTATTAAAAGTGACCTCATATTAATTTCGTTTTGGAAATAACTGTAGCACAGTTGAGACAGGATACTTCCATTGACTTGGTAGCTCATGGTTTGTTAAAGTAACAGCATAAAAACAATTTAATGTCCTGTTTTATTCCTTGTTAAGCACCTCCCATTTTGGTACAATCAGAACACTGTTGTTGATCATATTTTCTTATTTAACTTTATTGTTTATAAAAGTCCCGTTAGGTTTGTTTTTTGTTCAGAATGAACTTAGCAAAGCTTACGTCATGCCATGTTCCAGTGTTTGTCAGTGGTACGAGGATCCTTAACCGATACTGAGCATGGCGTTACATTAGCAATCAGATCATTGAGAAATGAATACTTGTCTTGTGTCATCGTTATATTGTATCTCTCTTTGACAGGTCGAAACCTGGCCCTGCTACAGTAAACGCGTATTACAGCCCAGTCTCAAACAGAATAGGTAAGTAATTATCTCTTGTAATTAACACTGCTTTCTGGATTTTTAATCTATTGAAATACGTCACGAGTTAACTCAATATTTTGAAAAGAACCTGATTCCTTATATTCATTATAATTTTGCCCTAATATCAATTACTTGTCTGCAATAAATAAAAGCGATAAAAATACACAAGAAATACAGCAAATTGTTTAATTCGCATCAATAATAATGTGATTACATTTTGATACCGCTAAGGCTTCCTCGGTTCAGCAGCAGCACCAGCCGTATCACCACAATCAGTAGTATATAGTGTAGTTTTAAGTTAGTTTAGGTCACCACGACCAGCTGTAGTCTCAAGTAAGACAAGGTCATGCATGTTTATATAGAAGTATTCCAATCTCGAAACAACTTTGCATTTCAAATATATTATTTAACAAAAACGTTTGTTATCAACCAACTAGACGATATTACATTCAAGTAAAGCAGCACAAAAAAAATCAATTATGTTTTATGTGAATACATGTTTTGACTATAGAAATCTCATAAATGCCAATGTTATCGGAGGCGAAGGTGATTATTACGACGTTGAGACAGGCTACACGTCGTTACTGGCTACAAGTCAGCACCAACTACAAGTCGTTAACGCATTGTCTTTCTCTCTTTATTAGTGTTTCCAGCTGGTATCCTGCAAAAGCCATTTTACGGGAAATCTCAGCCAAAGTATGTGAGCTATTTCTGATAACATTTCTATTACATATAGCACATGTTTGCTCTCTACATATTTATACTTTTGTTTTTCTTGTTTTTGAATTTAACATTAAAGTATGTAAAAAATGATTTTAAACCAACACTCGTTAGTTGGCGTGGTAGTCTGTATAATGTTTTATGATCTATAGCATATTTTCTGAAATACAACTTGTAATCAGTTTGGTTTTTCAACTGACATTTGTTAGGAATATATTTAAAAATTAACAATAAATAATAACAAAATATTTAAGAAAAAAATGTTTCATTATATGTGTTTGTTAAGCTACTACTTGTTTTGTAATTATTGTCATAGTATTCGACTTGGTCAAAATATAATAAATTATCGTCCAATCACGTTGTCCAGCATTAATAAGGATTTTTGTAGTATGTTTATATTTCTAATTGTCATGCTGACATGGTCCGCAGTTGTTTGCATACATATTCACAGTGAACCTTTGACGTCAAAGTACTCAAATAGTTTAGTCACTAAGCCGATGCGATTCTGTTTACGATTACAACGCAAAATGACACAAAAGTGACATTGTTTGAGTCGTGGAAGTTTAAATACTATTCCCGTTTAGTAGGTTAATCGAGTGGACAGGTTATATTTATAGAATACAGTATTACACGGTTGTTGATAGGTCCACTATAATACGGTCATCATAATCACAAGTATTTTATCTCATCCTAATTGACTGGAGTTAGCAGGCAATCAGGTTAAATCATGCATAAACTGTTACTGTATGACGATGGCAGGTCACAGATAAAGCGACCAATGATGTGAGATTAATTTCAGGCGGTTGTCGTCTACACTATACAAAAGAACTCAGTATGAAAGGAAACAAATCTCATGAAATCCGATGATCACGTGATGGCCCTAACCTCGCTCAACATCATTACATTAAGATACTAATCGTGTTTTCTAAGTATATGATGTAAGGGGACAACAGTGTATTTAAGTTATTATATAAACGTTACAAAGTGGAGTAGTGATTGAATATACAGAATGACGCCAAGTTGCGATATCAGACGAGATAATGATGGTCTTACAAATGCGTTAATGAGTGTCTTACAGACAAATAATATTTTTCGCACAGAAAAGTTATTTTTGGTTACACACACAGGCTTGATTTTGTCTTACAGACAAAGAAAACTGTGTCTTACAGACAATTGATCATGATTGTCTTAAACAAAATTTTAATCATTGTTATACACATTAATGGCGAACATTTGTCAGTTACCGCCCCTGAATGATATAAAAGGTGGCGCTCTAGTTGTTGCGGTCCCAGTCTACTTCCGGTATCAGCGGGTCCGCTGTATCAACTGGTCTGTCATTATTATGCCGAAAACATGTTGTTGTGTCCCGTACTGCAGTGAGAGAGGAGGCCATGTATTCCCTAAGGATGAAAGAAAGAAGTTGCTATGGGTGTCGGCTATTAAGAGAAATTCGTCGGAGAAACAGTTTGAGCGGTGGGTCCCAGTAAAATCGAGCCTCGTTTGTAGTGCTCACTTCACTGATGCCGACCACAAAACAGAGACCACATACGGTAGTATATATATCAGCAATGATGTTGGGTTTATTGTTAATTGTGAGTAATTAAACAAGTGTATGTGATATTAAGTTGAAATTGAGTGGTTTCGAAAACATGTGTACACGAGCCACACGACATGTTTATCACCTAAGATTCCAGTACTACTAACCCGTTCAGTCTATCTGGCAGTAACTGTTACTCGGTCCAACCCCTAAACAATCCTTACGTACATTTGTTAACTATACCATTTTGTGAATGTTTTAGGCCTAGACGTGGTCCCATGTATAAATCATTTCCATTTATTTCCTTGTGTCGAAGTATGAGGTACATGGATGCTATAATTTCTTAAACACTGACTGGTAACTGTCTACCTGAGATTAAAGGATCAATATGTATTTTGTTTTTTTCAATAGAAAATGGAGCTGTAACTTTAAGGCTTAAACATATATATTGTTGTTAACTGTTTTGTTATGGTTTTTGTTTTTGTTTAATTCACTTTTGTTGTTTTGTTTCATGCCATGGCCGGGTAAAGCAGCAACTATAATTAATCATTTCAAAATGAACTATATACTAGCCAAGCGTTCTAATATCATTATTGTTTGGATATATACAGTCATTTTGTTTGATTCAACTTACATTTGAGCTGTCCAAGGATGAAAATTATCCACTCATGATGACACTACAGTATTTGTAAATAATCCTTTAAAGGTATGTTTTGATAATAAGACAAGTCACCTTGAAACTAGAACAGCAGGAACTTTATAATCTCCTCTGTGATGCACCATTCGCATATGCATTAATTACAATGTGTACAATATTTGAAGTACCAATGTATTAGCCCACAAGTTGAAAATTTTGATAAGTCTCATCTATATTTTGGTACATATAAAAACATTTCTTTTCTAAATAATTTATATTAGTGGATGTATTACATGGTGAATAATAGTTAAGTCATAGACAACATAATCTGAGATGGCCTTATTATTAACTCAGGCAAATTATTATTATATAAATAAATGTATTATAAATGTGAATCGTATTATTAAGTTAATATTTTGTATACCAGGTACTTCACCATTGCGCCGGAAACTGAGAGATGGGGCGGTGCCACGCATTTTTCAGTGGAAACCATCAGAACAGTCGGATCCACGGGCAAAACGACTTTGTGTGAGGAATGCAGAAACAGAATTAACCAGTGGATTTGAAATTCATGTAAATGATACCTGTCCTTCATTAGATAAACATGAGGTGGAAATTGATCCTTCCAGTGACTTAAATGTTGCATATGAAGAGTGTGTATATGAATCATCTATGTCAATCTCTACAGAAGAATGTATTACTATTCCAGAGTCACCATTACTATCAAATGCATATACACAAACACCACATCTCCCTATACTTTCTGTTGAAAAGTTGATGCTGGAGCCATGTTTTATACAGGATTGTCTTCATACAAAGATTTTAAGTTTGTGTTGGCATGTCTGGTGTGAATCATCTGGATTACCTGTACAATAAGGTAGAAAATATTTCTATTGAAAATCAACTCTTTTTGACTTTAATTAAGTTAAGACAGAACAAAACCAATTTTGAACTCAGTCGTCTGTTTAATATTTCTGAGACATCTGTTGCTAACATTTGGATTACTTGGGTAAATTGTATGTATCGACAATGGCAAGAGATACAATGGTGGCCTGAACGAGATCTTGTAAGGTATTTTTGTCCAACTGATTTTCGGTCCAAGTTTCCTACTACCAGGGTAACTGTTGATGGAACAGAGTGCCCTATGAAAAAACCGAGGCCTCCTGTTGCTCAACAGTCTACTTATTCCACATACAAAAATAGGAACACAATTAAAGCGTTAGTAGGGACAACTCCAGGTGGATTAGTGTCCTACATATCCCCTGCATATGGAGGGTCGGTCAGTGATCGTCAAATTGTTGAAAGGAGCAATCTGACAGCCATTTGTGACCCAGGGAATTCTATTATGGCAGACAAGGGATTTAATGTAGAGGATTGATTTGCTGTTCCAGATATAGCCATCAATATTCCTACTTTCTTTATAAAGAAAAACAGGATGACAGGTACAGTTGTTCTCAGAGACAGAAAAATATCTAGCAAACGTGTTCATGTTGAACGAATAATCGGCCTTGCAAAGACTTATAAAATACTAGCAATGCCAATGAATAATACACAGACAAAGCTTTCAAGTGAAATCACTTTTGTTTGTTTTATGCTCTGTAACTTCAGAAAATGTATTGTTCCAAGACATGCATGAATACAGATTTGGTTATGTACATTATATTACTGAACTTATCCGTCAATTAGTTCATGCCTGGTAATAAGCTCATCCTTATCTATTACAGTTTAGTATAAATTGCAACAAGTGTTATTTCATTGCTTTCTAATAAGCCAACCCCCTACTTTGAGTCAAAGGTTATGTGTTGCCCCCTGGGGTTTTTGAAGTATAAATACAATACTGTCTGGGCAGATTTTATGAAACTTCATTGGCAAATCCCTTTCTGATAGATTTTTATCAAACTTCACTATCAGCTTAACAGACTTTTATCAAACTTCACTATCAAATCCCTTTCTTAACAGATATTTTTTTTTATCAAACTTTACTATCAAATCCATCTCTGAACAGATTTTTATCAAACTTCACTAACAAAAGATCACTTTCAAACCTGTGAGCTTATGTTGTTATGGTCCTATATATACCACCCATTGCTAGCCTATTGCTGACACTTCATAAAGCCCAGTAGAGATTTATCTTTTTAGCTTGACTCTCTAAGAGAGGGAGAGCTAATATTGTCACGTCAGTGCTGGTTTCTAAATGTTAAAGTTTTGGTGCAAGTGTTGAAAAGACATTAGTAAACCCCTTTATGTACTAGGGTACTGATATTTAATTTCAGGGTTTCTGTGGGGATTAACTACTATTTCCCGGGTTTGGAATAAATGATTCTTCGGGGGGAAAAACTTGTAATTTCAAACATTGGACTTAAGACTTTTATGTCAAATCTAATAGTAAGGTTTAGGGTTTCTATCATGTCAATGCAACCTTTAACCTTTAATCATAACAGAATTTTACAAATAACTGTCCTGCTTAATTTCATGAAATGCATATTTGTTGCATTGGAAATAATTTCTAGATGATATATGACACTGTATGTGTTATTGTTGCATTAAAATCTAGTTATTCATGTAATTACTTTATGAACAAATATATGTATATTGCAATATTGATTCCAGTTGTCTAATGCTAGTGCGTGGTATAGTGATAAACAATATGAGGTGAGCTTTGTACCATTGGCGGCACAGTCGTTTTGTTATTCACTGTTATGTAATCTGTTTGTCATCAACTGATTTTTTTAACAACTTATTACTGGTTTCAAATGATAGAAATAGATGACTACATGAACATGATATCAATAGGCCCATCACATTGTGCCTTATTTTTTTTTCTCTTGTGTCTATAAATCTTTTTCATTTTATGGCAAAATATTATATACACAGGCACTACCATACAAATGAAATGTGATATGCTGACACAGAAATAATGTATATTTTTTTTGGATCAGAGTCCAGAGACAAGTTCCAGTGTATCCTGTAGAGTAACTGTTTTTCTTGATAATATGCCTTGTTTTTTTAAAAGACTACATGAAGGAAAGGTGATTTGTTGATGAGTGAATTCTAGTACATCTTTCCAGGAACCAACCTTTATGTGTAGCTTGACCTCGAGTATGTTGTTCTACCTCATTTATCTCATCAACAGTTATTTTTGTTATTTCATTTTCTGTAAACACATGTCTGATGATGTTAATTCTAGATAGTCATGATCTGTATCTAGGGCATACGGATTTGTAGGTTTGAAAAGCTGGGATACGGGATACTCATTTACTCTGCGCTCTGCATTCTGATTTAACGTAAAACTTGTCGGTGTCTGATGCCAAACGTAAATATCTTAGAAATCTGTTAGTATACAAAAATTGTGCGTCACTGTCGATCGTCTTTTGCATATCAAGAAGGTAGGATTCTACTGCAACTAATGTCAAGTCTGTAAAAACTGTGTCATTGTTGAGGTATTTTTAATGTTCAAAACCTGGCACATTCATACAGAATTCAGGCTCTAGTTCTTCCCTACCAAAATCTTTGTTTCTATCACATGCTTCAAGTCTGAAATAAGTAAAATAAAATATATGTATATGTATGCAATAATGTGTATGGTTATATATCTTATGATGTAGCTAGCAATGTTATGTCACAGGAATTTGTAATGCAATTTAGTTTGAAACTAGTTTTACAACTTACTTTGTAAAATAATTTATTTGTAATCCATTCCAATCAATGCAAATTGTGTATGATGATTTATTATTGATCATTCTTTATATGTGTATATAATATAATGTATAAACATTGAACTGTGACAATCTGACATCTTGTCATCATCAAACTTCATTTCCCCCTTGAGGAGATATTCATTTACATAGGAATAACTGATTGGTGACCTCAGAGCGTTCTATAAATATCTCAAGTGAGCCCCGGGTGCTAATTTCGTTTGTACGAACACCCATCGATATTCTGTTTTTGAAACAACCATAAATGAAGATAATACCTCCTCAGATTTTTCAATGATTTAAAATAATGATGGTTTGTTGATCTGATTTGGGCACTGTCGCCTTAGGCTTTGGCCTCAACTATTACAGCGTTTGTGATAAAGTAAAACGAACCTTTCTATTAACTCGTTCTTCCTTCCCGATAAACGAACTCCTCGGGCACGTAACTTATTCCTGAGTTTTGGAAGGTCCCACGATCCGTAAGATATAGGCTTACTCAATGACATATTGTACGACAGTAGCAGTGTTGACATTCAGATTTCGCGGAATGTCAGAGGACCGCAATGTACTGTGCGCCACCTTTAATCAGGGTCCCTCTACATAATTTTGTTTTCATACGCCTTACTAAATAAAACTCGGTTTTTGGACGAGGAAAGTGTTGGATTGTGTCCAACCAAAGTCCTAAAAATACTGCTAACTGCTCTTTACTTCACGTTCTGTTTTGAATGTGTGGTTAAAAGGATTGCTAAGCCAGTACTTTGTATGACATATACGAAGTTCAATGCTCTCATGTCAAGTAATAATATTTTAGTGAGCAGCCAATTTAAAATGGCCCTGGAATTGGTTCAATCATCCCCAAACACCGTTTACATTTTTACCTAAGCTGCTGTGAAGACTTAACATCTTTTACAAGGTTCTGAGTTTGGAACTTTTTTTGTATGGACTTTATTATCAAAATGTGGTCACACTTATTTTTAAATACCATATATTAGACAAAGGTTAATTAGCCTTTATGTAAACGTGTATGTTTTCCTGAATGCAATTTATAATATAGAATTAATTGATGTGTTTGTTTACAGGTCGATGAATTACGGCGGAATAGGCATGATCATTGGACATGAAATCACACACGGATTCGATGATATAGGTATTATAATGCATACAAATATTTTAGATTGAAATTGAAAGGTAGAAAACCAATGTAATATTCCTTCAGCTGTGTAGAAGCTATAGTGCTGTACAAGTGTATATATGTGCTTTTAATTTGTGTCACTTGTGTACTTTTATGTGTTAATAATCTGTAAGTTTAAAGGATCTGAGGACATTCAAGTTTTCTATACATTTTCAAATGATAGTTTGATAAGGGTTAAACAGCGATCCTTAGCATATTCGTCCTCTTTTATGTTTATCTATAAGTACTGTATTGTTGGAAATGTTTTATGAATAAAAGCCTGTATATCCAGTGAGCAAATATTGGTAATTTGAGTGTTTGATGTAATCTAAGATAGATCTTATATTCGGAGCTGATCAATCCCGCGGATTTTATCTAGATTATCGCAGAACATATTTGTGACCTTCCCATGAACCTATGAACCATAAATGCATTTAATAATGTTTCTCGTTTCTTGTGCATTATTTACAAATTTACAAAAACTAACTCCGACGTGTTTTTTTATAAACAGGCCGTCAGTACGACAAGGACGGTAACCTGGAACAATGGTGGTCTGACGACGCTATCACAAGGTTTAAGGCCAAAGCTCAATGTATCATTAATCAGTACGGTAACTTCTCGCTTCCAGAGGCGGACGGAATGAACGTAAGTTATCAGCGATTGACATTGGACAGTTAGATTATTCAATAAAGAGCCGCCTTTACTTGGCCTGATTAGGGATCAACATTTTTACCGTCAGAAATATAAATGGACTGTATTTTCACGTAATACAAAAGACTGCAGAACAACTAACGTGAAATTAGAATTGGTTTAGAATGATATTTTGTTACATTGAATATGTTACATGAGTATACAAATGGTGCATGATGTAAATTTCAATATTGTCGAAATATGAAATAAACTAACACCTAATCAGTATGACACAAAAAAGCCAACAAAAAAACAAAACAAAAATACAACACAAAGAAAACAGAAAAAAGACAGAAACAGTAATCGTCATGGTTGCAGGAGACCTGACCTCGTTTATTTCAAAGAAATCATAACTTGTTTCAGCAGCATATAAAAGTACGAGGCGCGTGCTGTGTCGATCTACGTTAAGGAATTACAGGGTTTAAGAAATAGTTTAGCCATCAATGTTCCCATCAGACAAGTCTGGATATTAAAACGAATGAATTAAAAAACTTATGTTTTACAGAAAGTCATTTTTGTTCCTAAAACTGGTGGCGGAACTAATCAAGTTCGATTGCATCCAAAAATGCTTAAGTATTTCAGAAAGTGTTAAGGTAGGAGTAATCATTTATACAAGTATCCGTTACTTCAGTTAAGATCAATCATTTCTTTTTCAGCTAAATGGCATCAACACACAAGGGGAGAATATTGCTGATAATGGTGGCCTAAAACAGAGCTACAGAGTAAGTAAAGAGAAATATTCTAAAGAACACTTTGATTCAGATAGACCTCGTATTAGTGTAGCGATTACTTAAACAGGGTTTGGAAACGGAGTAAGTAAAGAGTGAAATTCTGGAGAACACCTCATTTTAGATTGATCTCGTATCAGAATAATGATTAATTCAACGCAGTTTGGAAAAAATGGTTTATTGACCAGGAAACTAATTGTAATTGCGATATAATTAACAACTCAAATGCTAAATTAATTGCTTCTTCGTGGTTTAATTATTGAATAGTATTTGACCACTACTGGTATATGATGTCGATTGGTTATACATTGGCTATGTGTCATCGCAATAGTTAATTGTATGATAAGCATTACCATACCTCATGCTGTATATCAGTTAACTAACTACTACAATAATGTAATAAAGCAAAAGAACATCGTACATGTAACGCTGACGAAATTATTTAATGCTGTTCTTTGATTGCATAATAGTATGCACACTATGTTGACTTTGATTCAATACAGAGGTTATATAGCACGAGTGTTTGGTTATGACATCATATATTCTTCATGAGGCCCCCTTTGTAGGATACGTATGTATAGCTCATCGAATGATACTACATACTAGTTCCAGGAGACTAATATAGGCACTGCCTGTTGTCTAATCCTTTGTAAATACAATAAAATGTGTTGAAACCAAAATGATACTACCACGGTTGCCACTGAAAAAATAGTCCATTGCTTTAAAAAAATATGCGAATATGAAAACATATCGAATGGGGGAGAACTGTATAAGGGAAACATATTGTAATGATGAGAATTGTATAATGAATCTATATTGTAATGATGAGAATTGTATAATGAATCTATATTGTAATGCTGAGAATTGTATAATGAATCTATATTGTAATGATGAGAATTGTATAATGAATCTATATTGTAATAATAAGAATTGTAAAATGAATCTATATTGTAATGATGAGAATTGTATAATGAAAACATATCGAATGGGGGAGAACTGTATAAGGGAAACATATTGTAACATAATTTTATAATGAAATATGTTGTGATGCGGTAGAAGTGTTATGTGTTAGAATACAATTATTATTAGAACAGAATTAAATTGAATGTGTTCTTTTTAACAAAAAAGGCCTACCGTGACTGGATCAAGCAGAGAGGGCGGGAAGAATCACAACTGCCCGGTGTCAGTTACAACGATAATCAGCTGTTCTTCATCAACTTCGCACAGGCCAGTAAATCAGCATCACAGTAGTAGCTTCATCAACTTCGAACAGGTCAGTAAATCAGCATCACTGTAGTAGCTTCATCAACTTCGCACAGGTCATTATATCAGCATCACTGAAGTAGCTTCATCAACTTCGCACAGGTCAGTAAATCAGCATCACAGTAGTAGCTTCATCAACTTCGCACAGGTCAGTAAGTCAGCATCACAGTAGAAGCTTCATCAACTTCGCTCAGGTCAGTAAATCAGCATCACAGTAGAAGCTTCATCAACTTCGCTCAGGTCAGTAAATCAGCATCACAGTAATAGCTTCATCAACTTCGCACAGGTCAGTAAATCAGCATCACAATATTAGCTTTATCGACATCGCACAGGTCAGTAAATCAGCATCACTGTAGTAGCTTCATCAACTTCGCACAGGTCAGTAAATCAGCATCACACTAGTAGCTTCATCAACTTCGCAAAGGTCAGTAAATCAGCATCACAGTAGAAGCTTCATCAACTTCGCTCAGGTCAGTAAATCAGCATCACAGTAGAAGCTTCATCAACTTCGATCAGGTCAGTAAATCAGCATCACAATATTAGCTTTATCGACATCGAACAGGTCAGTAAATCAGCATCACAGTAAGAGCTTCATCAACTTCGCACAGGTCAGTATATCAGCATCACTGTAGTAGCTTCATCAACTTCGCCCAGGCCAGTAAATCAGCCACTCAGTATTAGCTTCATCAACTTCGCACAGGTCAGTATATCAGCATCACTGTAGTAGATTCATCAACTTCGCACAGGTCAGTAAATCAGCATCACAGGATTAGCTTCGTCAACTTCGCACAGGTCAGTATATCAGCATCACTGTAGAAGATTCATCAACTTCGCACAGGGCAGTAAATCAGCATCACAGTAGAAGCTTCATCAACTTCGTACAGGTCAGTAAATCAGCATCACAGTAGTAGCTCCATCAAAGTCGCACAGGTCAATAAATCAGCATCACAGTAGAAGCTGCATCAACTTCGCACAGGTCAGCAAATCAGCTACTCAGTATTAGCTTCATCAACTTCGCACAGGTCAGTAAATCAGCTACTCAGTATTAGCTTCATCAACTTCGTACAGGTCAGTAAATCAGCATCACAGTATTAGCTTCATCAACCTCGCACAGGTCAGTAAATCAGCATCACAGTATTAGCTTTATCGACATCGCACAGGTCAGTAAATCAGCATCACAGTAGTAGCTTCATCAACTTTTCACAGGTCAGTAAATCAGCATCACAGTAGAAGCTTCATCAACTTCGCACAGGTCAGTAAATCAGCATCACAATAGTAGATTCATCAACTTCGCACAGGTCAGTAGATTAGCATACCAGTACATGTAGTAGCTTCATCAACTTCGCACAGGTCAGTAAATCAGCATCACAGTATTAGCTTCATCAACTTCGCACAGGTCAGTAAATCAGCATCACAGTAGAAGCTTCATCAACTTCGCACAGGTCAGTAAATCAGCATCACAGTAGAAGCTTCATCAACTTCGCACAGGTCAGTAAATCAGCATCACAGCATTAGCTTCGTCAACGTGGCACAGGTCAGTAAATCAGCATCACAGTATTAGCTTCGTCAACTTCGCACAGGTCAGTAAATCAGCATCACAGTAG